GATAAAGCAGGCAAACAACAGACTATGCAGTTTAGAAGCCACCATGCATCTCAGAAGCAGATCACTAGCACCATGTTTGCAAAAGAAGGTTTCCCTCAGTAGTTCCTTCGACACGGTGCTGGGGCAGAAAGCTGTCTCTTCACTTGCCCCTGTAACCTCTTCCCAATTTCAGCATTTCAGATTGTGCTTATTTCTGTCATGGTGAAATTGCATTCTGTTGAAAGTCTGCTATGCCAAGTAATAGTAGACGCAAGCTGTATTTCACCAGATAAGCAAAACACCTGAAATCCTCTTAGGAAGTCAAGAAAGACAATGTTATCGATGGAGATTGACTTGCTCGGACAACTCCTGCTGTTATTACACACTTTTAAATAGCAGGACCGCTTAGTGACAGCTCTCATCAGTCAGCAGCTACCCCTTTAAAACTAAACTGCTTCCTTCTGGTGCTCAGCTGACTTCAGCACTGGCCCTGCTGGAACGGGGACAATCCTCCCCATCACCCACCCTGGCCTTGGCTTTGGCTTTGTGCAGTGGGACCTCTGGCCACACTGCAGGGCTGGTATACAGCCATTTATCACAGGTTAACACTCTCATAGCCAGGCACCAGGATGTACATAACCAATCTCTTCCCAAGCACTTTTTTTTTCTCTAGTCACCAGTCATTTCCTCTTTTTAAGGTATGGGATTTAATTGCTCTAAGTCCCTTACTCCTAATCAGGCAGCAAGTTCCCAGACCTCTTTTAGTGTTATCTGCAGACCTCTGCTGTTCCCAAGCCAAGGCAGCACAGAGAGGCCCCACAGTGGAGGAAAGCTCAATTCCTCTAAGGACCGAGGAGGACAAAGTTTCCTCTCTCTTCTCTCCAAGCCATCTGTCACTTCCCCACCCTCTTGGGCTCAGATTAGTGGCTGACCGGATGGTCTTTAACTCTTGCTTCACCTTCACCAACAACGGGGAACCTCTCAAGCAGGAAACCTGCTTGACACAGGGGCACATCACTGGGGCACAACACAGCATTGCCTGCTTGCAAAATGGTGGAGTTTCTGTAAGATGTGATATTATTGCTGCTTCGTGTGATGCAAGGGAACGGGCAGGGCTGCCTGTGGCTGCAACATTGCCCTTGGCTGGGTGCAGTACCACCAGCAGGTCTGCCAGTTTTCCAAAACAGTCAACTCTACAGAGAGCAAGGATGCCATGATCCAACTTTTCCTGTGCCTGCTGGTAAGACACTATCAAAGTTACCCAGTGTTACCTTGTGGATGTTATCCAGTACCCACAATATTATTCACATATGTTTTGTGTGTTTATGCACAAAAAGTGTCTTAACAGCTTGGCAGGAGGTGAAGAACACGGCATAAGAGTAGAAAGGACTTCATCTTTAAGATAAAATCAATAGGTAAAAAGGAGCTACTCTACATGTGCTATACTTTGTAGCTCTTCCTTCCCAGTAAGAACTCTGTACTTCTCAGACTCCAAGGACATTCAGAATAAATGTCCCTGACGATAAGTTCCTTCTCCCTTGGTGAATCTCTTTCTTAGTCAAATTAAATATCACAGCTGAGGCCTTGTCTCTGTGACCTGCTCTTCTTCATCAGAGAGTAATGAGTGTGACTGTAGGCCATGTTTAAAAAAAAAAAAAAAGGTCTGAATGCCCTTTTTGCCCCTAAAATAATTCAGATGTAGAGTAGCAAGATCACAAACCGGGAACGAAGCTGAGACTCACTGAGAAGGAATACCAGCGATAAGACAAGAAAAAGAACAGTAACAAGCAATTCCATAGTATGGCGGTTTCCAGCTTTGGAGATGAAGCTTCTTGGAAGGCTTCTCCACCCTCCACAGCTTGGGAGAGTATTCTTTACACAGATCCTTGCAGTTCATTCTGTGGGAAGGGAAAAAGACTGTGTTTCTAACACTAGGATTGGGTTAAGAGATGCTGTGAGCCCACCTAGCATGCCAGCGCATAGGCTAATATGAAATGCTGCATTTGGATGTTTCTTTAGGGGAGCTGGATCCTGCCATCCAAGCAAGTCACTTGTAGTACATGCTGTTCGGTGCTTCAATTTCACTTCCTTTTTTTTTTTTAAGAAAAAAAAGAGGGGGATGGGTTTCTCTGCTGCTGAGTTGTTTTCTCCTCTTAGGTACCACCACATAAGCCAACTCGAAGGAAACCGCCGTGCTCCCTTCCGCTGTATCCCAAGACCGAGACAAGCCAAAATGATGAGCAAGTGAGTGTCAATTTCATAGAAAGACAAAGTCTCTCTCCACTGCAGTCCATTCTCTCTGACTTCTGAGACGCAGATTTAGAGGCAGTACAGTGATACAGTGATCAGGCTGCGTAGCATCAGTCATGTAGCATCAAACCTTTCCCTTGCAGACTCCCCTTGGAGGACTGTCTCGCACAGTCAGCTCCATACTGCTTGCCATTCCTGTAGCATGGATACTACTCTTGTTTTACCCTCAGAGTAGAGGATACACCAGTTCTTACCTCTCAAGCATTTCAAAGCAAGAACTGGTGTTTATTAGATTTTAACAGCATTTGGTTCTGTGGGCATCTATTCTGTTTATCGCCTTCATAAGTACACTAGAGGTTTCAGTATAATGGTGTAATAGTTCTGCTCTTGAGTTATTTCCTTCTTCATAAAAAGGAAATAATTTATCCGGAGCGAAGGGTTTTTCTTTAGCAGTACCTGCAGAATATTGTCTTGACCTGGACTCTGTAGAGCACCTTTGCATGAGCAGGTCCCAACAAGCTGGCTGTTACTCATTAGCGTTTCCTATATTCAGGCCCTTCCCTGTAACTTCTGTCCTTCTGTATTTCAGTATGTGTAGCTTAACCGCAAATGCCACATTGCCACCTGCCCTTAGGAGGCAGTTCTTAGTCCTTCTTTTCTGACAGCTATAGCCTTTTGCTGCCTCCAAGCCAGAGGAGCATAGCAAAAGCTTTACAGTCTTAGTCATCATACAAAGGTCCCTAATGTTTACCAACATTAAGGCCCTGTATTCTTCAAGAGGTGGATTTATAATTTGTCTAGTCCTCTGAGGAGAGAAAAACTGTCGGCTCAGAACAATCCAATGTGAATCAACCTGAAAAAAAAAACCGTTTATTGAAACAAAGCCGTCCCTTATATACCAGTTCCTTTCCCGTGCGCGCTCCCATCTCATCTGATTGGCTAGAGCCTTTCTCCTGGTTGGTTGTTGTCAGACTCCGTCGATCTTCCCTTAGGCCGCAGGTTCCAAGTGACCTTTTGTTCTGCGCCACATGCTTACTCCAACATCTCCTATGGCTGGTTCATTGGGCGGCCATTTTCCTCCAAGAACGACTCCACAGTCCTCAAAAAACATCAGGGAAATCTTACATTAAACTCCTTACTGGAGGCCAAATAGCAGCAGTGGCATTACACATCACTGGCTTGGATAATTCAGCCAAAATGCAGCACTTACCTTTTTCTCTCTCAAGGATACTGATATGTAGAGCCCTAGGATGGCTAGATCACAAAAGAGTTAGGAAAGAAGAGAGCAAACTTTTGTGCAAAGGTCCTGCATTAGGCTTGATTTACACCCCTACAAGTAGGTTCTCCTTGCTACTTCCAAGTACCTGCTCTCAATTTATTTCCTTTTTCTCATCTGTTTTAATGTGGTCTTTTCCCGATTCATTCTCTTTTTGCAGAAGCCGTCTCCAAATGCTTGCCCTATGCCCAAGGTCAAGGTGAAAAGCTCCCCGATGATTGAAAAGCTTCAGGTAGGTTCTGCAAGGGCCCACATAGTTGCCCCAACAAATCTTGTGGAGCAGCCACAAAGGAAGGGGAGCCAGGAGCTGAGAGTGACACCCTCAGCAGGGCAGTAGCCTCATCAACAAGGGTCCAGCGCCACAAAACACAGCGAGAAGGAGAGAGCAGGCCTGGTGATGGTAACCAGGGTCAGGCGCAATGTAACAGGCAAGTCTGAAGGAGGATCTGAGGTCAAGGCAGGAAGCCAGGGTCAGCGTCAGCGTTTGGGCACAGGCAGGCTGCATGGCCAGGCACGGGCATGGCAGCAGTGCAGCTCAGGTGGGAATCAAGGGCACGAGCCTCAGCTTAAGTGCAGCTGCCAAGAGAAGGGGAGGGAAACCCTGTCTATAGCTGTTTCTCACAAGAATCTGAAAAAGGTTTAGGCAATTACACCATATCAGGGAGCTGGCCTTGAGCACAGACAGCTAAAATCATAGGGATGGTAGGGAAGCAGCTCTCTACTCTCCTTTAGCAGTGCCTAGAAGCTCTGCACTTTCCTGTCCTTAATTCCTTGAGTTACACACAAACACGCCCAGGGCCATATCTGTATCTCTCAGCACTTGACAGCCTATAGACATAGTGCCCTACTACTGCCAGCTGCCCCTCCTGGCAGCATGTGCGACTCGTGAGCACAATGCCACCCGGGTGCCCTGACGCAACGTGACCTATTCATAGCAGCGTCCCCGTTAACGCACCCAAGGACATCTGCCGACAGCAACGGGTCAGCAGGAGTTGATAAGGAAGTGCTTCTCCACAGTTAATCACAAACTTGCTTCTTTCCTCATGACCATATGGATCATTCAAAAGACCTGCAGACTAGGCCTGCAAACGTGAGGTCTCTTTGAGTAGCACCAGGGGTGTTTTACACCCTGAGTGACTGCTGGCTTGCTGATCGCCTGTTCATGCTTTCCTGGCTCAGCCATTGTAGATGATAGTGACTTGGCTTGGTCACTGGAAAATCCCTAAAGGCCTCAGGATGACAAAAGACCTCGTCCCGAGATCCAGCTGTTGAGGAAGGGCAAATATCTAGCCATAACTTCTCTGCCCTGGCTTGTTTGTTGACAGTATCACCAGGAGGGACCTGTAACCAGAAGCTATGTGGGTTGTGACAGCTGAGCAGGGTGCTGTCCCGTGACAAGAGAAAGGGTTCCCCCATGTGGCTAATACCCATATTACGCATCCCTTGAACTCAATACTGCTGTGTGTTTTCTTTGCAGGCCAATCTGGCTTTTGCTCCAGCTGCCCTGCTACCAGGAGCCTCTCCCAAGAGCCCGGGTTTGAAAGTCATGGTCTCTCCGTTCAGCACTCCCCCCTCCACCCCTACAAGCCCAGGCATCCAGTCTCAATCCAGTGAGCCCAAAGAGACTCCGGTCAGTTTTGATCAACCCCCAGAAGGCACTCAGCTGCAATTCTATAACAAGGTAGGGCATGCGCAAGGGTCTCCGTGATGCAGCCGGGTAGAGCTTGCTTATTGCTTGGGGATGAGGTGGAACAGGAGGTTGATGTGGCTGAACAGACTGGAGAGCCCACAGAGACCGACTGCATGGCACTTCAAGGGGGAGCTGTGACCCTCATTTACCAGGACCAGCTGCTGTGCAGACACCTTCAACTACCATAATCCGAAGCATAATGAATGGAAAAACCTTGGCTTAGGGTTTAACTTGGACAGGGAGCCGGAGTTTAAGCACAGACAATGAGCTAAGACTTGGGTCAAAACTGGGACAAAGACCAGCTTTACAGTGGGGAAGAAGATACATTAGTGTGCTGCTTATCCTGTAAAGCAGTCCCCTTCCACCTATCTCTGGGTAGCACAGCAGGAAAAACGAAACAACCAGCATAGCAATCAAGTTTCTTGTGGTATTATTCTCTGTTGTATTTTCCTACTTTCCAGTGCTACTCTCTCTTCAATGCCTGTTTTTCCTGTATTCAAGGTGCGGACACGAGGATCAATAAAGCGTAGGCCTCCGTCCAGGAGATTCAGAAGATCTCTGTCAGAATATGGAGATGGGGAAGATTTAGGGGTCAACATCTCCTCTCCAGAAAATGGTGCCAAAGAAGATGGGGATGAGGCATTTGGGCCCAAAGGCAAGACAGAGGAGGCAGAAACAGCTAGCAAAGCACTAAAGAAACAGTCAGGGTATGATGAAAAGCCTCCATCAAGGAGAGGATCCAGCAGATCAGAAAATGAAGAAAAAGGGGAAAAACAGGAAGAGGAAATGACTCCTTGCAAGAATAATGCGGGGGATACAGAGGAGAAGGTGAGTTGTGCCTCAAGGGAGGAGAATGCTCCCCAGTCTCCCTCTGGAGATAAGGAAGAGGAGGTGTGCAAGGGTCCACGGGGTGAAAAGGAAGAGAGTGCCTGTAAACAGGAAAAACGTGACAAGGAGAAGGAAGAAGTGGAAAAGAAGGAGACCAGTGAGAGCACAGACACACAGGGAGTATCAAACACTGAAGAAACACGATTAGCTCCTGAGACACAGCAGGCAGAAGCAGGCTTGGAAACTGCCGGTGAATCTTCAACATCACCCACACAGGACCAGGAGACAGAGCGACTGTGATGCACAGGTAATACAGATCTGCATGGTAATGTCTCCTAAAATAGCAGTTTTTTGCCTACTAAGGAAGCCATGCTAACATTTTTGCTGCTCCCCACTCGCCAAGAGTATGAAATTATAGATACAAAAACACTCATGTGATGTAATCCCTTCTATCTGGCTGATTGTTTTAAAGAGACCTTTCCAAACCACTTGTTAGCTTTGCCATCAAAAGTAGTGCTTGCACACATAGCAATTTCATGGTCAGCCCTGGAACCATGCAAACATGGATACCTACCACTTAAAATAAAAGAGGAATTCCACTTGCTAAAGCCAGGCTTATTCTTTTATAGCTTCCTACTTATTTTCTAACCACTGCTACCCAACATAGACACAGGCGCTTGAGGAAATATCCCATTCCACATCAACTGCATGTCGCTCTTTAAATGCCTGCTTGGTTTGGCAAGGAAGAACTGAGGAAGTTGTCTGGTGCTCGGGCTGCAGCTCACCTCTCCCTGCTAGTATGGCAACCGCCAAAGTACCCCCAAGCACAATATCTGCCGCAGATTCCCCATCCTTGTATTTACTTAAAACTGTTATTATTTGTAATAATTTCTTTACTTTTCCTTCTCAAAAGGACATACCCTGCCAAGACAGAGGAGACAACACATGAATAGGAGCCATCTAACCCAATCAATGTGGAAGCTGCTGGAAAACTAGTGGGAGAGGAGCGGAATACAGATATCCTCTGAGGTGAAGAAGCATCCTGGAGCTGAGTGACCTGTCACTGGTCCTCTGCTCTCACACCATGATCTGCTGTTACAGCCAGAGTGAGAGACTGGCTTGTAATTGCTTCAGAGCTCAAAATGGAGATGCTGGATGACCTGTCTTAGGAGATATTTGGGACCTGAGAGACGTGATACATGGTGTCCTGGCTGGACCCAGCAGCCACCACCACTTCTGGGCCTTCTGTTCTTCAATCCTACTGAGCTCTAAAAATGTCATTTTCTTCTCCCCTGCATTGATCTTACATGAAGTTCATCAGTGTAGGACCCATATATATGTGTACATGTATGTTTGTGTGTATGTTTGTATACACACACACATATACACACACATGCACGTATATATGTAAGTCTATATGTATGGTGCCTTTTCAGTAGCTTCTTTAGAAAAAAATGGATGTTCAGATTTAACTAAATAATGTTTTAAGAACAGGAAAAAAAGTATGCTTTCTCTGCATATGCTGTATGGCATACAATGTGAATCGTAAATACAGAGAAAACTCTTTGAAAAATGATTATAAAGCATAAAAACCCTCTGGAGGGAGGATTGAGCTGGATCTATGTATGAAATACCCATGAATTGCAAGCAAATTGTGTGTGTGCTTCAACTTTGGGGTGTTTTTAGTGCTGCTGGAAAGTAACAACCAACAGATTTGATCCACAGAAAAGATGTGCTGTGTAGGTCAATAGGATAGGTGTTCTTCACCTATCCCTATCCTCTAGTCCTGACTTAGAAGGGCCTCTTGTCCATGAGAATTTTTCAGTTCCAAACCCTATCTAAACTTCTGATTTTCTTTTGAAACTCCCAGCATGGGGCCAGTTAGTGCCACTTGTGATAGAAGGCATACTGGCTTGCTCATAAATTATATGCAAGTCAGTGAAGAGGTCTTAGATGGCTGTTTCAGGCTATATGGCTTGACTGAATATGAATTACTAAGGCACAGATAGCTAATCTCTCCTAAGTACTTAGGACTGGCATTGATTTGCCTCCTGTCTTGGAATAGTAATTAATTCATGGGACTAGCAGAGGCTGAGCTAAAAAAAACAAACAGAAAACCCAAACCTTTTACCTCTACACTGTATTTGTTGTTCGTATGAAGTAAATTATGTAAGGGAAGATAAACAACAGACATTTACCTGACGACTTTCCTGACAGCAGGGTTTGAGGCTGTATCTGTAATACTGAATAAACAGCACCTCTGGCTCAAGGTCAAGGGGCCATATTGTGTAGGTGTAGCCCTCTCTACAGCATATATATTCCCTTGGAAACAGCTAACCAGAATCGTCAAAAACTATGCTAAGGAGTCAACTAACAGTTAAGTGATGTGGATGGTTAAGCACCAAGGCTTACAGTTGCTGCCAGACACCTATCATTTAGCAAAACAGATGCAGCTACCGAAGACAGAACCTGCCAACTCCTCCTCATCTTTCACAAAGTCCCGCTTAGCAAACATTAAGCTAAGCAGTGTCCCTGTCCTGTGTACAGGCACAGGCACCTTACACAATATAGCCCGCATCCCTCCCTGGCTCTGAAAATACAGCAGCGTTACAAAGCATCACCCATGGTTTTGAAGGAGTTCCTTTTCTGTTCACCAGCACTAAAATCACAAGAAAAGAAACGATGCCCTGCCTTTCTTCTTTCCAGGTGAGAGCACTAAGGTGTCATCTGTTGAGAGCCAGCAGTGCTGCCCCTTTCCTGTAGAACAGGCTTGTTGGCAAAAGTGACCCCCACATCCTTTTGAGCCATGTTGTGGAGCCCTGTTGCCTTTGAATCAATCTGTTTGTTGAAGCTTGTATTCCAGGGCAGGCTGCAATAATTCACTGTAATGTGTTTCTTCTCTCAGCAGTGTGTCCCATCTGGATGTGAGTGATTGTGCCTTACTGTATATATAGAGGTATATGTGTGTGTCTGTTTAGAGACATGTGTATGTGTGTCCCAAGCAAGGGAGTGGAAATCTGAGGGAGAAACAGAAGAAATAAATGGTAGAATAAAAACAAACAAAAATAAACCCCCAAATTTCTGTGTTCCTCCTGGAGAGATGAAGTATCCTGAACAGGGCATGGAGAGAGCTGACAGCAGCAGGCAAAACAGGTGAAGGCTTTCGTTTGCCATCGGAACAGTGTAACATTTGATTGTAGTTTGGATTTTTTTTTTTTTTTTACTTTTGAGAAACTAATAACCCATGTGCTTTACAAATTGCTGGGGAAATTGCTCAGCCGAAGGCATCCGCCATCTTACACACAGGGGATCGCGGCTCACGCTGTGTACAAACCTCACCCTTCAGCAGGAAAGTGAGAGCAATTTTAGAAGAAAAGATAATAAGAAAAATTTCTTCGGCAAGCATTAGCATCATGACACTGCAAAAGCAGAAGGTATATGTGGGCACATATCTGTACTGTGAGAAAATGGAGGCTCAGGCCCATTGATGGTAACATGGTCTTGTATCCACAAGGCGTGCGGGGGCCAAACATCTGTACTGCAATGCAGACTTGGCTGGATGTGAAGTGGGAGAGCATTGCGTCTCTCCCCCTCTGCTCCCACAGGCAGTGCAAGGATAGGTGCTGGGATGCTAGTGGTTAAACTGGGAAACGCCATGAGCAAGAAGACTCTGGTATTGCTTTTATAACAGCTTTTGTGTGCGTGGTGCCTCGAAGAACAAAACCAAACCAAACCAAAATCCTTCTTGGCCATAAGACCATTACCCTGGAGATAGAGGGAGAGGAAAATAAAGAAACGGAGAGAAAAAAACGTATCACGAGAGCAAAGTGACTGCCGCAGTTGTGTTTGGCGGCGATCTTGTTATTTTTTACCGCTATCCTTTGTTCGGGCCGTGTTTGAACCGCAGGGGGAACCCGAGCACAGACGGCCCGGCTAAGGG